AACGTCTTGAAATTTCTTTTCTGGATGGGTTTGTCTTGTTTTTGTCTTAAAGGTGGATGGTACGTGGTATTTTGTGCATTTAGTTACTACTCGTTACCCTTCGATGCATGCATTCAAGTAGTCGATCTCTGGCTCATTCAGTTGGTCTAGAGCCTTTGTGACCGGGTTCATTGATAATCTTCTCCGTTGTCTGGTGCATATTTGAGATCTAGAGAGAAACCAAGTGGAGAAGTCTTCGATACTACTGAAGGAATTGTATCCATGACATCATAGTTGATAACTGAAAAGTCAAGCATTTAATTTTTTCTTGGAACTCATCTTTATACCTTGAACTTGAATCACATGGTTCAGTTTAGAAAGTGTTAGAAATGAGACCAGCACTTTTAAAAATAATATATGTTATATATCATATTAAGATGACTTGTAATTGGATTGGATTACCTTGAATCTCATGGTTTTGTCTGTTTTTTAGCCGTAGGAAAATCAAAAGTAATTGGATAAGAGTTACATGTTTATGATGCATGCCAAATTTTATTGAGGAAAACATTATTTCTGATATGTCTTTTTTCCTGTAAAGAATTTGGTTTTATCTAGTGATAATATTGCTTTCTTTATGTGGAGAAGTAGCTGCTTGCATAATATGACGGAATGTATTGGTCATGCCGCAGGGCATTTTTCTCATCCTTATGTTTCAATGTGATCATCATGTCTTGAGGACAGAGGATATATATGTATGAGCCTCTTATTGTCTCTCCATTTCAATATATACAGAGCCCCTTTGGGATTTCCCACCAACAGGCTCTAGCACAGGTTACAGCTCAAGCTGTCCTAGCACAATCACAAATGCACGTGCAAGCTGATTTTCAACCTTCTGCTGTAACAGCCCCTGCGGAACCATTGGCAGTGCAGCCATTCTGTACTGCAGGTGAAGGATCAGAGCTGCAAGTGGCACCATCAGTTTTGGAACCTCAAGGTGCCCAACTGGAAATATCTGAAATTTCTCACTCTGATAACAAAAATCAACCTTCATCTACGGGTGTTGACAAACCAGCAGATGATGGCTATAACTGGCGTAAGTATGGGCAGAAGCAGGTTAAGGGGAGTGAGTATCCCCGGAGCTACTACAAGTGTACACATCTGAATTGCCCTGTAAAGAAAAAGGTTGAGCGTGCCACCGATGGCCATATCACTGAAATTACATACAAAGGCCAGCATAACCATGAAATGCCTCAGCCAAACAGACGTGCTGCCAAAGATAATTGCGAATCAAATGAAAGTAAAAGCATTCAAGTTATGTCTGTGTCAAATACACAGGGTTGGGTTGGAAATTCAAATGTTTTATCTGAAAGCATGCCTGACCATTCAATGCCTGTGAGTGACCAGAACTCCAATCAAGAGGCTCCCAGACAGTTACCTGGATCAGGTGAGAGTGAGGAAGCACTTGATGCAAATATTACAGAAGAAGATGGAGATGTTGGCGAGCCAAACCCAAAAAGGAGGCAAGTTTTACAATGTTGTTATCCTTCTTCATGGAGCTCTGAATTTTTCTTTTTCTTCAAAATATAGACTAGAGTTCTGCTTTGCAGGAGTACTGAGGTTGGAGCTTCTGAAGCTTCTTTGTCCCACAAGACTGTTACAGAACCTAAAATCATTGTGCAAACAAGAAGCGAAGTTGATCTGTTAGATGATGGCTACAGGTGGCGCAAGTATGGGCAGAAAGTAGTGAAGGGAAATCCTCATCCAAGGTGACCACGTTGTCTATTCTTATTTGCTACTCTAGCTATCTTGTGAACTTGTAAAAATATGCTTGTAATGAATCGTATAGTTGAAATCATATCAAGTGACAATCCAACTCATACACAAGAACTACAAAATGCAAATCGATGACAATAAACAGGTCAGAATTAGCTCATAAATGAGGAGCATGCGATAGTTCCTTGAAATTTATATTCATCCCCCTCCCAAAAAAGAAAGAAGAAAGAAAAAGAAAAAAAGGAGAGAAATTGTCATCTTGCGTTGAATTTATTGTGCTGCACTAATTGATTTTTTTGGTTTTTCATTAATTATTTTTTTTAACACATGATGATATTGATCAAATCCATTCTCTTCCCTGATGATTTTTTTTTTTGGCCTGCGGGCGATCCTGCCTGTTAGCTTAAAAATTCCATTGATTCAATCATAAGTTTCATTTTGTCATTTCCCACTATTGAAATGAGAATCTTTTCCTTTTCGCCAGATGAGTGTGTTGCTTTGAGAGAGAGAGAGGTGCAGAGCACTTGGCTGATATTACTGTACATTAAAGGATCTTTTTAGATACCAATGGAGGTTGGGTCTAGTGAAAGGAGCTAATCTTTTGCAACATGACAAACCAAGGTTCAAATCTCCACTAAGAGAGGTGTTCACATTTAGTGTCCGATTGTGCCTCGAATAGGATTGCCTCCAATAGGAGGATACCTATGAGATTTTTTTTTTTTTTTTTAAGAATCCTTCTAGATTGCTTATATTTTTCTTGTGTGTTACTCTATTAATATTCTTACTTGAGGGCTGAGGCCATCCAATGCATGAACACATAAATTGCAGTTACTCTAACCTTCTGGTGCTGCTTCTGCTCCCATTAGTTAAGTCTTGCATGTCTCGGTTCCAGATGTGTCTTCAGATCATTCAGACATATAAGTCTGTTAAAATTTGTCAAGGGATGATCGTCAATTTAGTATTTACGAGTCTTTCTCTAGTCATGCAACATCCACTCTTACATAAGAAAGATAAACTTGAAATTTCACTTTGACTCTGCTACCTTTGTCATTGCCCATAATATGGCTTGTTCATTCTTTTCCATCAGTATCTTGCTTTCAAATGAGTTTTCATATTTTAGTATGAACTTAAAATATGTTATTGCTAATGCTCATTTTCTGTGAACAGGAGTTATTACAAATGCACTAGTACAGGATGTAATGTGCGTAAGCATGTTGAGAGATCTTCAACAGACCCTAAAGCTGTCATAACAACGTATGAAGGAAAACATGACCATGATGTCCCTGCTTCTAGAAATAGCAGCCACACCACTGCTACTACCAATTCAACGCCTTTAAAACCTCATAAGGTGATTCCTGGGAAGCATCCTTTGCTTAAAGATATGGATTTTGGAAACAATGAGCAAAGACCGGCTGTTTTACGCTTAAAAGAAGAGCAAAAAAGATTATAAATATAATACTAATATCAGTTAAGCAACTTTTTGAGTTAGAACTGGCCAGGTGCATGGTGGCGTTGTCTAGAAATTGAAAATGTGAAGGCTTCTTGAAGATAGTTGACCATGGTTGGCGCTTGTATTTTGTTCCTTAGGTTCTCTTTATTTTGACACTTTTGTAAATGAAGTTATGGACCTTCTTGTTGTATATGACAGATCATTAGAACTTATAAATAGACATATAGTTAGTCTCACTTGCAAAGGCAGTTGTGATTGGAGTCGTCGTGTATAGAACTGAAGAATTATGTTGGTTCTTCTCATGAAATTTCCTCGACAATTAAGCTATTCTTGAATTATAATTAGTGTAATTTGTTTCATTTTATGAAATATAATCACACAATTGTATGTATAGACTCGTTAAAAATCAATTGGACTAATTATAATTCAAGAATCATTTTTTTTAAAAAATGTTTTAATTCAAAAGTCACAGGCGATTAGGCAGTAATTTTTTTGTTTAAATCAAAGATAGGCAGTAATTTAGAAGATTGCATTAAGCAATCTGAAATTCAGACCATTAAATATTAAATAACAGATTTTAACAAAGTAACATGTGAGATTTAATACTCCATTCAATTCTAAATGTTAAAACTAGTTAAGGAGTTTGTTTTAATCTTTACATATAAGGTCTTAATCGCTTTTATCTTTCTTCATTTATTATTTTATGTCTAAAACTATTCCTATCGTACAATCAATATAAGTAGTTTTCAATGTAAATGATTAGAGGGAGTAATTTTTTTTAAAAAAAAATCAACACAGTTTTTCCACAAGTAACTAAATTAGTTAACAAACTCTAACATTTGCAGGACCAAGGAAGTAATACTTATTAACTGTAATAACTATACAAATAACATGGTACAAGGCTGTAAGCTGATTTGCAACAAAATCACTTTGAAATATAGTGTAATTCGAATTGAAATTAATAATCAATCTTGTACAATTTAATATTATCCTAATTTATTTGATTTTTTCTAGTCGGCAACCGAGTGACGTACGAATATCTAGTAAAATAAAATCCAAAACATGAAAATAAAAGTGCACTGGAGAATGATAGCCGTTAACTACCATCGTAGGTGTGGGTGGGTCTTGAGTCCCTTTGAGATATAAGATTGTCGATGCAAGATATGAACTCTCTCTCTCTCTCTCTCTCTCTCTATCTATGTATATATATGTAGTGTACATAATACATGCATTTTAAATACGAGTCTCGAAACTGCCAGTAGTAGTGTGAAGAATGGGGCCGTTGGAAGTGTGTGCTGCAACGACCTCCACCACCATGGTACCACACAAGCAAGTAGCAATGGCTTCTCTCAGTGTCTCTGTATCCAACCAAAGCAACTACCCAAAAATTATGACAGAAACTCCAAGCGGTTCCATTAATAATTGTGCCCTTTCTCTCTCTCTCTCTTTTCTTTTGCGACACCAAGAAAACTCAAAAGATGAACCAATTCGCCTTCGGACCCACGAATTTCTCTTCCTTTGCTTCCGGACCCTTTCTCACTAACCACGAACTCTATGGAAATCCTCCGCAGATCTCGCTTTCCCAGTGCACAGAAAAACCATTTCGGGAAGAGAGAGAGAGCGCGCTGGTGCCATCCAGACAAAGGCATCATTTTTTTTCAATAATGTCAAATGCTTCCTTTTCTGGGTTCTGCTAACTTTCTCTGAAGATGTTTGGAGCTGATGCAACCGCATTGGAGCTGATGTAGGGGTGATGCCCCTATCATCCTTCACTTCCCGAATAGGTCGATCGCTTTCTTCCCTTATTGATCGATTCTAGTACAAATTGGGAGGAAATGGGTTGCATTAACTCTAAGAAGGCAATTGCCAGAGATTCACCTCAACATGTGCTTTCGGTATCGGCAACCACCGACAAGAGGTCTGCTGTTGCGGAGCCTCCTTCCAGAGTCCAATCTGGGGTTCTGATTTTTGGGACCAAAGCGGAGCAAGCATCGCAGGATCGGATACAGGATGGGAAAAGATTTAAGAGGAACAGTTCTAAAGGAACTGGCTCTTTAAGAATTTCGTATCGACTCGTGGAAGCGGAGCAGAATGCGGCCGGATGGCCTCCTTGGCTCACCTCTGTTGCAGGGGAAGCTATCCAAGGATGGGTGCCTCTCAAGGCAGATTCATTTGAGAAATTAGACAAGGTTGGAAAAGTGCATAGCTATTGTTTGTTTTCACCATCTTTTTCCTTGGGCCTGAATGGCTGAATTGTTCAGCACTGTCATTACAGAATTGGACTTCTCTTTTCACTTGAGTTATTTTCAAGTTGTAGTTTTATTTTCAAATAAACTATAAAATAGATCTAGGCATTTGTATAAGATACGGTTGCACCATCAAACTCGTGGCGGGAAACAGTAGAAAACTTACAGCCCTTTTATTTTTGTATGACCTTGAAACTCCACATTATCATGCGGATGCTGACTTTGGGATTGTGGCAGAGATTTTAAGATCATGATTATGCGATGCTTCTTGCTGCTAGACATGTTATTACGTTTAGACCTGTTACATTTTTTTTTTTTTTGGTTTACAAGTACTGTGTTGATTTGTCACTTACCTATGCTATAATTGCTTGGTCATACTGTCATTATCTAGTCAACGTATTCTCAATTTCGGTCTTTCTTTAATTTTTTTTTCTTTTCTTTTTCAATAGATTGGACAAGGTACGTATAGCAGTGTGTTCCGAGCACGGGAGTTGAAACTGGGAGGATGGTTGCCTTGAAGAAGGTGCACATTGAGAATTTTCATCCTGAGAGCATTAGGTTCATGGCAAGAGAAATAGCAATCCTACGTAGGCTTGACCACCCAAACATTATGAAATTGGAGGGTATAATTACATCACGACTATCAAGTAGCATATACCTTGTATTTGAATACATGGAACACGATCTTGCAGGCCTAGTTTCCTCTCCGGACATCAAGTTCAGTGAGACTCAGGTTTGTCAGTATCCTCTTTCTGATAAAGTTGTATATTTTTAGAATGAAACGTTAGGCATGTTAGAGTGGTGGGGAGAGGGACATGGCTCAGTACAGTCTCGAAAGTTCTTTTACACTGTTTTTTGGGTTGAAATTATGCACCAATTAACATTGAAGAGAAGTCCCTGGTAGCTGTCATCTTCCTTTTGTTTCTTTAAAATGTAACTAGAACCGTTTGGCAAATTGCATCTAATTTCCATGTTTTCAAACCAAAACATCTAGTTTAAGGCACCTCCTTATCTTACTTCATAGAAAGCCAACATGTCTTATGTTTTAGCTCATTTTGTTTATATGAACAATCTAGCTCAAAATGCCTGAAATTTCTGGCAAGCAAAGCTGAATGATTCTGATACTTGCGCTGAAACCCTGCTCACAGTGGATGAATTGCACTTCAGAGTCAAGCGTTTTAGGCTAGTGTAACAAGTGTCTTTCTTTTTGCGTTAGCTCCTTCTAGAGGTTAAATACTATATATATTTTGGTCAAACAGGTTAAATGTTACATGAGGCAATTGTTAAGTGGACTTGAACACTGCCACATCCATGGCGTCATGCACCGTGACATCAAAACATCCAATATATTGGTGAATAATGAGGGTGTTCTCAAGATAGGAGATTTTGGATTAGCAAATACCCTTAATAACAAGAACCCATTAACCAGCTGTGTAGTGACTCTATGGTATCGTCGTCCTCCTGAACTTTTGATGGGATCAACAAACTATGGAGTATCAGTGGATCTGTGGAGTGTAGGCTGTGTATTTGCAGAACTTTTTCTGGGAAGCCTCTTCTTAAGGGGAGAACTGAGGTACTTATCTGGGTCTGTCAACAAATCAATGCCCGTTCACTTGTTGGCGCTAGCTTTACAGTTAAGGGGCTGCTTTAAACTGATGCATCCTTTTGATTTTACAGGTTGAACAGTTACACAAAATATTTAAGCTTTGTGGCTCTCCACCTGATGAGTTCTGGAAAAAGTCTAAGCTTCCTCTTGCAACAATGTTTAAACCTCAGACTCATTATGAATGCACTCTAAGGGAGCAGTGCAAAGAATTTCCAGTTACTGCTGTAAATCTAATTGAGACTCTACTTTCCGTTGACCAAAGTAGGCGTGGGACTGCCTCCTCTGCCCTAATGTCTGAGGTTAATTCCACTAAAGTTTTGCATACGTCCTCCTAGATTCATCCTTTTGCGGAATGATTTATAAATGCATTTCTTTCGCATAACATGTACTCCAAAAAACTTATTCCTTTTTTTGGTGTATTAAAAATCTTATTCTATTATAATGCTCTCACGATGCTATCTGATTGTGTACAATTAAGCTAGATTATTGATATGATCTTTCATCTTTCAGTATTTCAGCACCGAGCCTTATGCTTGCGATCCATCAATTCTGCCAAAGTATCCACCTCACAAAGAAATGGATGTCAGGGATTTGGAAGAAGCACAAAGGTAAGAAAATTGTCGCAAGACACATTCTGGAAGTGCTGGTGTTCTAGCTATTATCGCTCGTTGTGCTTGTTGAATGGAAATAATAGGTTACGTCATCTTCTGGGACTAGTCAATTTTTCAAGTTCTCGTTTATTTAAAATTAAGTATATCTGATTTTGACTTTAAAAAAGCAAACAAAATATTTTATATCCATTTTCGGTGACAGTCAAAGCATTTTATTTTATTTTTTTGGGTACTCTCAGGAAAAAAGCTGGAGGTAAAGTGCAAGATGCTGCAAAACCAGAAAAACAGAGGCGAGTCCATAAAATTTGGCAAGAACCAACAGATGTCAATAATTCAGCTCAGAAGAAAGAGGTGCTCTCTGAGTGTATTATGTTATATATATTCTTTGTAAAAGATCACCAGTTCTTACTCCTATAATCTTTCCTCCTTGACATAGGAAGTGCAGTACATCTCTCGAAACGCTCGTAAAGACGATAGAAAAGCACGTCTTCCTAAGGAAAAAGGAGGACCTATGCATAGAGGGGCATCAAAGCCATCTTCAAATGCAATGTCAGGGACTACCCGCGTAATGGATGTTTCTCATGGCTTTAGTGTACCGGTGCCAGTCTCAGGATCCAATGGCTTTACATGGGCAAAAAACAGAAAAGCAGATGCTACATCTACTTTATCAGATGGCTCAAAAAGCAAAATTAGCGCTCTCGATCCATCCTTTGCAAAAGGCACCTATGATTTAACAACAAACAAGGGACAGATGTATCAGAAAGAAAATACATTGGCAATGCAAGCCATATGGACAGGACTTCCAACCATCGACAACAAAGCATCAGCTTCCACATGGTACGCCGGCCTCTCTTAATGAAGCTGATGAGTACAATCATATAGATGTGTCCACAGATTTTGATCCATCAGAACAAACAGATGTTGTGATCAATACTCAGGTAACTGAAAAATCTCAGGCAGGCATTATAATCAGATGCTTTTAATCACATGCTAAAGTACAATGTTATTGAACAACACAACAAGTCTTATCCCATTAGATGGAGTCGGTTACATGGATTGCACGATATCATTATGCTCTATCAGCAAATCAGCCTTTGAAAATATTGTTAACTAAAAGGTTTCTTTCAACAACTTTTACAAGTGTTATTTTTAGCCTTTCTCTACTCCTCTTTATAGGACTCAAGACTATCTGTTTCATTTTTCCTCACTGGGGCCTCTCATAGCCTTCTTTATACGTGTTTCGGACTATCTCAAACAATTATATACCATCTTCTCCTCAATGGATAGTACACTCACTTTTTCTCACATAAGCTCATTACAAATTCTATCTTTTCATGTATGGCCGCACATTCATTTTAATATTCTTGTTTATACTATTCCAACTTTAAGCTCTTAGTGTCCCTTTAAAAACCCAACATTGAAGATTATAATAAAATTATCCACAAGTATTCACTTAATAACTTCAAACCTCTCAGATGTTACTGTCAATAATAGTCGTCATTGTTGACTAATCCTAATGCCACTTGTTAGTCAGAAATAAACTAGGACTCCTGCCAGCTACTTCAGGACTTGGCTACGAACACTTGATATGATGACTATTTCTCTGTGTGTAAAACTGAATATAAATGTGGATTGATGATCTCACTTTGCTTCTGGCTTATCACAGGAAATAACATCATTTTACTTTCTTTCTTGAAAACCTTACAGAGCCACAGAAAGCAAGGTGATCTCCCTGAATTATCAGGACCCCAAATACCTCGACCAAATAGAATCGTTGAGTCGTTGCAGAGGAATGAAAACGGTATTTCTCGATCAACTCGCAAATCAAGACTAGGAAGAGGTAAATAATTTGTTTTTTCTATGGAAGAAACTAATGTTAATGCGTTGGATGGTCATATAATTCTTGGGACCCACCTCTTTTTGTTTGAGAGTAAATTTGAAGTTAACCCACGAATCATTATGAGTACTGATAAATCAATGTATTTTCTTTTCCAGACAACTGATATGAGAATTCTTAAATTGGAGCTAACCTCAACTTTATTATAAGGATGCTTTGCTAAGCATGGCATCCACTGCTGAACTGTGGCACAGCATGTCTGCATCTGAAGCACTGAGACATCTGACATGATCTCTTCTGACATGTTTGGCCGCGTTACCCTGCTTCAATTACAAGAGTTTTATCAATTTTCATAATCAGCAGGAGTAACACTGAGATGTAGGATTGCAGATATAAATCCCACATTGAAGATGGTCTATTTTTAACAAGAGCCGTTTAATCTCCGGATAAAAATTTTGTTAATCGATTAACCCAGTTCTCTTTTTTAAACATCACTGCAGGTTGGAAGCACACTTGATGTTTGGGTGGGAAAGGGCTGGGGGTAGTTAGTTACACACTGCTCAGATTAGAGAGTATCCTATTTTTTTCTAGGAGAGTATGCTCTCGTCTTCTAAAATCTAATTTTCTTTTTGATAACATGTATAGAATAAACATAAAACAACGCTCCGAGTCTGAAACACAACTCTCCTACAAAATGGCACA